TTGTTTATTGTGAAATTCCCCCAGTGTGCATGACATCAAGTGTTCCCCGAAAATAATTTTTCTTTGTAAAATGATAAATTCCCTTCCCTGAATACGTCTATGTAAAAATAATTACCAAATTCCATTTACTTTGGCTGTGAAGACATGGACAAGGTGCGCTGTGATGTCATCAGGGGCTGGTCGCCCTTGTGTGAAGCTCCCAGACACGGTCGCTTGGGCCATTCAAGCACCGCGTGTTGCCACAAATATATTTTCAAATATTTGTTCTATGTATTTCCAGTGCGGTTTTGTTTGTTTCTTTTATCGTATATGATGCATATTTGTGTCCTTTACAATATGTATACAGTAGAATGTTCATAATGTTCCATGGAACTGTGATACATGTATCAGTAATGTGTCCACAATAAATGTTTATTGTCACAATATTATGTGATAAAAATTCACTAAAGTTACAATATGTACAGTTTCACATACTATTTACACAGTAACACTGTATTACACACTCAGTACTTTGGAGGTGCATAATAATCAACGAAGTATTCCATGGTACACAGCGCGACTTTGCTCTCGTTGCATCAGCTACAGATAGATTTTCGCTTCCTGTTTCATCGTTCTGTGTGCTTGCAAATAATGCACTCGCGTGCACCCTTGGCTTTAGTACTTGTAGGTGGTATGTAGCCATGATTGTAAAGCATAAGGTAGTATTGAAATGATTATAGGAAAAGGTTAAATTGTAAGGTAGTCTTGAAAAGATCGCTTTGTAGGGTCCCACACAGGAAGAGATTCAGCTAGCCTCAAAGAGTGTCTGTCAGTCAAGAAGAGATTCAGTCATTCTTGAAAATATCTGGAAAACACCACCATGGAAGCCGCTAACACTGTTAGCGGCTTCCGCTAACAGTGTTAGTGGAAGGCGCCATATTATTCATCTATGCTACTTATATCAGATGCATCATCACTGAATGCGGAAAACCATTCGTCTATGTATCATCTATATAAATTGGAAATGGCAAGGGTGGGGCTCAGAGCTACAACTGGATACGCTCGCCGTATCATGCTCATAGGTGCTGTATCACTTGCATCCGACCGTTGTGTTAAGTCCTTATTGCGCCTAGCTTCACCAATATTATGACCCTTATATTCTTCAAACAATAAGGTCTGAATTTCACCGACTGAGCGCAATCTTTCAACACCGTGTCGGACAAGTGTTTGGGAGCCAGAGGCACGTGTGCCACAAATGGTTGCTCACGCAGTACTAACCCAGCCAGCAGCCCTAGTCTTTCATATTTGTTATAGCAAAAGGTTCGTTCAGTGTTTGTCGGGTAGGCTGCTCCATTATGACAGTCTTTCTTTGTTTCAAATGTGTTCAATTTGTTTTGTATTTGTCATTTACTTCTCAATGATGGAGGTTACCTTACCTTACCTTGAGGTGCTTCCGAGGCTTAGCATCCCTGCGGCCCAGTCGTCAACTATGCCTCCTGGTTACTGGACTGATCAACCAGGCTGTTGGACGCGGCTGCTCGCAGCCTGACGTATGAGTCGGATACCTGGTTGATCAGGTATCCTTTGGAGGTGCTTATCCAGTTCTCTCTTGAACACTGTGAGGGGTCGGCCAGTTATGTCCCTTATGTGTAGCGGAAGCGTGTTGAACAGGGGAGCCAATTGGCCGAGCGGACAGCACGCTGGACTTGTGATCCTGTGGTCCTGGGTTCGATCCCAGGCGCTGGCGAGAAACAATGGGCAGAGTTTCTTTCACCCTATGCCCCTGTTACCTAGCAGTAAATAGGTACCTGGGTGTTAGTCAGCTGTCACGGGCTGCTTCCTGGGGGTGGAGGCCTGGTCGAGGACCGGGCCGCAGGGACACTAAAGCCCCGAAATCATCTCTAGATAACCTCAAGATAACAGTCTCGGGCCTCTGATGTTGATAGAGTTCTCTCTCAGAGTACCTGTTGCTTCTCTACTTTTCAACGGGGGTATTCTGCACATCCTGCCATGTCTTCTGGTCTCATGTGATGTTATTTCTGTGTGCAGGTTTGGGACCAGCCCCTCTAATATTTTCCACATGTAAATTATTATGTATCTCTCCTGCCTGCACTCAAGGGAGCACAGATTTAGGCCCTTTAGTCGGTCCCAATAGTTTAGATGTTTTACTGAGTGGATTCTAGCAGTAAAGGATCTCTGCATGCTCTCCAGGTCAGCAATTTCTCCAGCTTTGAAAGGGGCTGTCATTGTGCAGCAGTACTCCATTCTAGAGAGCACAAGTGTTTTGAAAAGTATCATCATCGGTATAGCATCTCTAGTGTGAAAAGTTCTTGTTATCCAACCTGTCATTTTTCTTGCAGTTGTGACGGCTACTTTATTGTGTTCTTTAAAGGTAAGGTCTTCCAACATGAGTACACCCAGATCCTTTACTTTCCCTTTTCGTTCTATGTTATGATTTGCCTGAGTTTTGTACGTGGTTTCCGTTTTTATATTTTCATTTTTGCCATAGCACAAGGACTGGAACTTATCTTCGTTAAACACCATATTATTTTCCGTAGCCCATAGAAAGACCTGATCTACATCTGATTGGAGGTTTGCCGTGTCCTCTATGTTGCCTACTTTCATGAAGATCCTAGTGTCATCTGCATAGGATGATACAGTGCTATAGGTTGTGTTCTTGTCTATGTCCGATATGAGGATGAGAAAAAGTACTGGAGCAAGCACAGTACCCTGGGGGACTGAGCTCTTCACGGTTGATGGGCTGGATTTTATTTTGTTGACTATTTATTTTTTTATTTTGTGGAGCAGCCGACCCGACAAACACTGAACGAACCTCTATGGCATTTGTCCATTTATCAAATTGTTTCAACTTTTTTCTTTTTTTTTATGTAAGAAACATGGAGCAGCCTACCTGCCGACACCACTGAGCAAACCTTTTGCTATAAGACAAATGAAAAATAAATATTGAACACATTTGAAGAAAGGAAAATGTCATAAAGGTTTGTTCAGTGTATGTAAGGTAGGCTGCCCCATTATTGAGACGTAAATGATAAATACAAAACAAATGGAACACATTTGAAACAAAGAAAATTGTTATAATGGAGCAGCCTACCTGCCGAACACCGAACGAACCTTTTTGACATTTGTTGTTTTTCAGAAATTTCATTTCTTTTTTCCTACAAAAACGTCAATGCTTTGCAACATCTCAGCAGTCACCCTTTTATATCCCAGCATCATTAGCATCTTTAAACAAGAACAACATAATTTATGTGCATCGTCGGAGGTGTCTAAGAATGTGCAAGAAGCAGCACGACCCCACCATGTGGTGTTGACGTTACTCAAACCAGCGTTCGTCATACGGGACGATTTGATGCCGATCGGGCTGTTCGTTACCCAAAATGTTCACCTTTTGGGGCGAGCGTTATGCAAGGTACCACTGAACTCCTGTAGGGAATTCTATTGCAAACACAATGATACCAAAATGAAAAACCTAGGACGAGAATTGAGGTGACCAATTTTCACCAAAGTGAAAAGAGTATACACATTTTATTGCTCTTGTGTGCTTCTGTTTCCTGCAGGTGGTAAGCCGGGTTTTTGGAGTTTATATGCATTTAGTCCTGTAGAGAATTTTATTACAAACACATTGATATCAAATTGAAAAACCTAGGACGAGAATTGAGATGACACAGTTGAAAAGAGTATACACTTTTCAGTATTACTGCACACTCTAGTGGAAGGCCAGGCGCCCCTTGGGGGGTGGCTTGGCACTCTCTTCTGGGTAATCTCGGCCTGCTTTCATCATGTCGGCGGGTGGAGCGTGCTGCAGTTTTTTACATTACATGCATATATTCCTGTTAGGAATTCTATTGCGAACACATTGATACCAAAATGAAAGACCTAGGACGAGAATTGAGGTGACCAAAGTGAAAGGGGTGTACACATTTTATCGCTCTTGCATGCTCCCGGGTAACATGCTCTCACTTTCATTTTTTGTTGCGGATGGTGCGCCGGGCTTTTGGACTTTATATGCCTTTAGTCCTGTAGAGAATTCTATTGCAAACACAATGATACCAAATTGAAAAACCTTGGACGAGAATTGAGGTGACAAATGAATTGAGGCAGAAACAAATGGGCAAAGTTTCTTTCACCCTGAATGCCCCTGTTACCTAGCAGTAAATAGGTACCTGGGTGTTAGTCAGCTGTCACGGGCTGCTTCCTGGGGGTGGAGGCCTGGTCGAGGACCGGGCCGCGGGGACACTAAAGCCCCGAAATCATCTCAAGATAACCTCAAGATAACAAAGTTGAAAAGAGTATACACTTCAGAATTACTGCGCTCTTCTGTGAAACACTGAAACCCACCTGGGGTAGTGCGGGGCTTGCTCGCCCAGTGCGCGCGAGTGTTAAACTTTTATTGTTTACTGACTGGTTGCAACTGTGAAAGCCTGATTGACTGTTAAATTGTGACTGTTAAATGCCTAACAGGTTGCTACTACAACAGTGAATGCTCGACTGCCTTTGGTTATGACTGTCTGTGACTGGTCTTGACCAAATGCTTGACTGACATGTTGTGACTGTAACAGACAGGTTCTGACTGGCTGCCACATAACAGGATGTGAAATGTGTAAAAGGATAATCTGGAACCAGTGATGCAGATATGAATCACTAGTGATGACATTTCTCCATCCTGATCTTCATCCCGTTAATCGTAGTTCTCTGCTTCCTATCCTTTACCCCACTGATGTTAATTACTTCCAATCCTTCAACCAGTTTTGTTAGCTTTTTGCTTCCTGTGCTTTAACTAGTTTAGGTTGTGTACCAGTGTTGGGAATTCCAAATGTTATAAGTCTGTCTGCAGTATATGCAGGTTCTCTTAAGTTGTGTTTATTTTGCCCATAACATACCCTTCAAACCTTGCAAATGTATCTGTCATAGATATTTCTTCTTCACCAATATTGAAATGAAAACCATTATTGGTATGAACTGTGAACCTTGAGCTCTTAAGTTTTATGTATTTTATTGAAATTAACCAAAATTAAACATTTCAGGTTGGCAACTACCTGCGTCTGTTCCGTGGGTCATTGTATAAAAAATTTCCTGGCATGTACAGACGCTCTATCACCAATGATGAACGAAAAAAGTTAATGGAACTTGGTAAGAGTGTACGTGTATTATATACACACCCTTGTATCTCCTTGCTGGTTAAGTATTCTTGGTAGAGATGCTATATTTTTTAATTTTTCTTGGGGAAGCCCTGTCGGCTCCTCCAGAGCTATCCCAGGCTGAATGGATATGTATATCTTTCTGTTATCAGTCAATGCATGGAGTTCTTGCCTACCGTGGACCATGAGCCAGAACCTGGCCCCCCTCTAGAGAGGCACGAGGAGCAATGGCCTGAACCTGGCCCCCTCAGAGAGGCATGGGGGAGCAATGACCTATAGAAACCCTGGTGTGGTTGGAAACATTCTATGTTTGCCATCGCCCGGGTCAGGCACCCAGAAAGGTAAGCATCCCAAAACAAACCCCTATTCTGGTAAAGTTTGCTACCAAAAGTCGAACAAGTGGATAGAACTCCACAAAAAGAAACGAGCAATTGAGCATGACGTCATACGTCGCCGAGCTGCTGTCTGTGCAGCTCCCCCTTCCCCAGGTGGGGGAAGGGGGAGCACCAGACCCCTCACGCCGGCTATCCACACGTCAGTTCTAAGGCTGGATGTCAAAACGTGCGAAAAACCGCCGACCGCGGGGAGGGAGGGATGCCGGGGAGCCTCCGTGTCTCACCCAGAAAATGGCGTTTCATTACATTCAACGCTGGTTTTCTGGGGGGGAGCCCCTTCGGCTCCTTGGAGCTGACTACCCACAGAAGAAAAAGATAGGGACTTACCTGGGAGGCGGTCGCTGCTCACTCCTCAACTCGAAGTCGAGACAACTGGCTGCAACCGCCGACATAAAGCGACACAGGCCCGACTTGGCTCAGGAACGTTCACGAGATACCGAGCAGCCAGGACCCTGTTCGACCGTCAAAATCCCTGAACCCGAATGTCAGCCAAGGACATGTTGCCAAACACGGCAGCAAGAGCAGTGAACTTGCGAACGTCATGAGCCTGGGGATAGACCGCAGGCTGGCTAGCCTTAATCCAGCGGACGACCTGGGAGACCCGCACCCGTGAACAGGGAAGAAGGGAAACCATATCAAAGTGCGTCCCCAGACACAGAAGCCATGGTGCGCAAATAATGGCGAAGAGCTGCAACCGGACACAAAACATGATGCACCCCCGACCTGACCAACCAAGCATCAAAAACCCAAGGATCCCTTCGGAAAGCAGCAGTCTCATTCTTCACCAGAAAAGGAGATGGCTGCAGACGGACAAATCGATTGCCGCGACCAAAAGAGCAGAAACCCGTGTGCCGGAGGAGAGCATGAAGCTCACCGACCCGACCCCCAGAGGTCAATGCCAACAGAAAAAGAGCCTTTGAAAAGCAATCCTGAACTGAAGGGGCCACAACAAACTGAGAAGAAGAAAGAAAGGAGAGCACCTTGTCCAATGACCAGGACGGCTTGGTGGCGCATGAGCAGGCTGAATGTGAAACAACGCACGAGACAGCTTGTGAAACGGTGCAGACATAACGTCAATACCGAAAGCAAGCTGAAGCGGCTCCGCCAGCGCCACACGATACGAGGCGACAATGTTAGGCATAAGATGACGGTCCTGGAACAACCAAGAGAGAAAGGACAACACAACCCTAACAGACAGCAAAACATAACGACGAAGACACAGAAAGAAACAGAAGGACCGCCAGGAAACTTCATACTGCTGCCTGGAGGAAGCCCGCAGGTGGGACACTACAAAAGAAGCCACCTGATCACCATAGAGATGATGATAAACCCAAGTCAAAAATACCATATGCGAAGACTCGAGGAGAAGATCAAACCTGCCACGTTGTAACACCATAACCATTATAACCACCACCATTATAACACCATAACAAGTTTTGTATTTAATATGTATATACAACTTGAGTTAGCTAGACGAGTTTGAGAGGCGACGTCTGTCTGCCTGTAGCCATTAAAAAAATCACACCTCTAGAGTGTTAATGACGTCAAACTGACCCGTGGTCAGGTCGTGTGATCTGACTTGGCATCTGCTAAGTTGATAATTGTAGTCAAGTAGCAGGGTGTGTCCTTCAGACAAGCCGCCGTTTAAGGTGTGGCTTAGTAGATGCCAAATAATATACACATGGAAAATACTGGAAGGCCAGGTCCCTAATCTACACGGTAAAATAACAATGCACTGGAGTGAACGATATGGAAGAAAATGCAGAATAGAACCAGAGAAGAGCAGAGGTGCCTAGGCACAATCGGAGAACACTATAAACATCAGAGGTCCGCGGCTGTTCAACGTCCTCCCAGCGACTAAGAAATATTGCCGGAACAACCGTGGACATCTTCAAGAGAAAACTAGACTGTTTTCTAAAAGACGTTCCGGACCAACCGGGCTGTGATGGGTATGTGGTCCTGTGGGCCGCTCTAAGCAACAGCCTGGTGGACCAAACTCTCACAAGTCAAGCCTGGCCTCGGGCCGGGCTTGGGGAGTAGAAGAACTCCCAGAATCCCATCAAGCAGGTATCAAGCAGATATGGTCTGGGGCTATTAACTTGTGGGCAGAGTTTAGCTCCTAGATTCGCAATAAATACCTAGGGAACTGTTCATTCGAGAGCACAGCAGGAGCAGAGCAGAGCAGAGGAGAGAAGAGGACAGCAGACAGCAACCGAGACAGGCTGTCGACCGGCCGGGGTGACTTTTCTGTCAACTGTATATACCCCCCTCTCTTTAAAGTACAGACAAGTTCCATTCCTTGTCTTGTATGTGCCCCGGAAAAACCTTCGGGTTCGGACACCGAGCAAGCAGCACCTGAAACCACAGCTGGGCCAGTTCAGCAGGACTGGTCGAGATGGTGGTTCCTGTTCCTCTTTCCCCCGGTTCAGCTGTTGTTCCAGATCCTGGCTCGCTTGGAGACTTACCAGGGGTGAGTAGTTCTCTTAACCCCGTGGTGGCCGACCCAGCCATGGTTTCAGGCGCTGCTTGCCCGGTGTCTGATCCCGGAGGTTTTTCCTTGGCTCTGCCTTTTTCAGAAGATCGGCCCGGTTCATTACGAGACTGGTTCGCCCTTCTCCTCGAGTCTTCACGTTTGGTATTTTTGACTCGAGTTTATCACCATTTGTATGGTAATCAGGTGGCTTCATTGATGGTGTCCCACCTGCGGGCTTTGTCTCAGCAGCAGTACAGGATGAAGTTTCTTGGTGGTCCTTCTGTTTCTTTTTGACTCTTCGTCGTTGTACTTCGCTTTTGGTTCGGGTAGTGTTGTCCGTTCTCTCGTGGTTGTTCTAGGACCGTTATCTTGTGCTGAATACTGTCGCCTCGTATTGTGTGGCGCTTGCGGAGCTGCTTCAGCTTGCTTTCGGGTATAAATGTTACTTCTGTGCCGTTTTGCAAGCTGTCTCGTGTGTTGTTTCACTTCCGCCTGCTCATGCGCCTTTGGACAGAGTGCTATCCTATCTCTCTTCTCCTTGGTTTGTTGTGGTCCCTTCGGTTCAGGATTGTTTTTCAAAGGCTCGTTTCCTGTTGGCATTGGCCTTTGGGGGTCGGGTTGGGGAGCTTCATGCTCTCCTCCGGCTCAGGTGTTTCTGCTCTTTCGGTCGTGGAGATAGGTTTGTTTGTCTGCAGCGGTCGCCTTCTTTTCTGGTGAAGAATGAGACTGCTGCTTTCCAGAGGGGTCCTTGGGTTGTTGATGAATGGTTCGTCTGGCCGGGCTTGCATCATGTGTTGTGTCCGGTTGCGGCCCTCCGCCATTATTTGCGCGCCACAGCTTCTGTGTCTGGGGATGCGCTTCAGGTTGATCTGTTTTCCCTTCTTCCTTGTTCGTGGGTACAGGTCTCTCGGGTCGTCCGCAGGGTTATTGAGGGTAACCAGCCTGTGGTCTATCTCCGTGCCCATGACGTTCGTAAGTTCGCTGCTCTTGTTGCCGTCTTTGGGAACATGTCCTGGTCTGACATCTGGGCACGGGGTTTTTGGCAGTCAACCAGGGTCCTGGCTGCACGCTACCCCATTAATGTTCCTGTTAACGAGGTAACGTGTGTCGCTTTGTGTCGACTCAAAGGGTCGGGCCTGTGTCTCTTTGGGTCGGCGGCTGCAGCCTGTCTCGACTTCAAGTTGAGTTGTGGAGCACCGACCGCCTCCTGGGTAAGTCCCCTTCTTTCCTTAATCTTTGGTGAACTAGCTCCGGGAAGCTGTGGGGGCTCCCCAGCATTCCTCCCTCCCTCCGGTCGGCGGTTTTTGCATATTTTGATATCCGGCCTCGGAACTCAGATGTGGATTGCCGGCGCAGGGGTCTAGGGCTCCCCCTTTTCCCTCCCGAGGAGGGGGGAGCTGCCCAGACATGCGGCGCGGCTCGTGTGACATCTTGCTTGTTTGCTCGTTTTCAATTGGGGGAGTTCTGACCACTTGTTTCGTTATTTTTGCTGGTTTCACCAGAATAGGGGTTTGTTTTGAGTCGCTTACCTTTGTGGGTGCCTGTCCCGGTCGATGGCAGATATACAAGCTCCAAAATTACATGTGCATTTCTATGGGCCATTGCTCCACGTACCTCTCTGAGGGGGGGCCAGGTTCTGGCCGTGGTTCCCGTTAGGCTTAGAACTCCACCCCCCATCGACTGATGCCAAAAGTGAGGACTATCCCTATCAGCCTGGATAGCTCCGGGGCGCCTCCGGGGCTCAGCCAGAAAATGGCATTTCATTTCATTCAATGCTGTTTTTTTTCATATGGGTAGACATACATGAATATTCATAGCTGCATTTTAACCACTGCACTGCCCGACAGTACTCGCGACAGGCGAAGCACAGACTCCAAATTGTCTATACAGTATACCTAGGTCATAAAAGTATTTGTGTGTACGTCTGATAACATACTCCTTGTGAAGGAGGAAATGTATATGTTTACCTCTCAGAATGTTTGGCAATATGTTTATTTGTGATGTGTGTCTATGTATATATTAACACGTTGTACTGAATGGGGTGAGAATAGCTTGAGCTACCTCATCCCTTTGTGTGTATTTTACCTCAATAAACTTATTTCAATTTCAATTTCAATTTCAAGCACAGACCGAGAAAATCCAATTTTAAGATATCATACGAATCGAAATGCACAGCAGGTTGAGTATGAAATGGACATCTGGGACCTCCACTGAGAGACAACCTTCTTGAAAAAACTTCCCAGCATGCCCTACGGCTGCTGGCTGGCTCAGTTCTGAGTGAGGAACCAATGGTGGCGCTTGTGCCTCTGGCTCCCAATCCCCTGTCTGCTTGCACAATGTGTTGGAAGATCGCTCTGTCAGTGAAATTCAAACCTTATTGTTTGAAGAACATAAGGGTTATGTTATTGATGAAGCTAGGCACAATAAGGATCTAACACAAGTGTTGGATACAAATGATACAGCACCGATGAGGACGATACAGCGAGCGTATCCAGTAGAGACTGAGCGCCACCCATGACCACCCTTGTCATCTTCAATTTGTATAGATGATACTATAGATGAATCATTTTCTGGGTTCAGTGATGATGCTTCTGATAAAAATAGCATTGATGAACAGTGTTAGCGGCTTCCATGGTGGAGTTTATTGCCAGTGGTGGTGGTGGTGACAATAAAAGGAGCATGGGTGAATTCGTGAGGGAGGACTGTGATAATTTTTTAACACAAACCACATTTTGATTATTCTGATGTTGGTGTTGCATCCACTATCCCATATACAGGTGAAGATATGAGTGATACCAGGTCAGATATGAGATACCAAGGTAGAATTTTGTCATTGATCATTTCCTAGATCTTTTCAAGACTACCTTACACATTGATCTATTCCTAGAATGTTTCAAGACTACCTTACACTTCCCAAGCTTGGCTACATACCACCTACAGGAACTAAAGCCAAGAGTGTATGTGAGTGCATTGTTTGCAAGCACACAGAATGAAGAAACAGGAAGCGAAAATCTGTCTGTACCTGGTGCATCGAGTGCAAAATTGTGCTGTGTACCATGGACTGCTTCTTTAATTATCACTCACTTCCGAAGTACTGAGTGTGTAATACAGTGTTTGACTATAAATAGTGTGTGTAAGTGTACATAGTGTAAATGAATTGAATATTGAACAAGTAATACATGTATTGCAAAATAAACATTTTGTGTGGACACATTCTTATGTGTACATATTGTAAAGGACGCAAATGTGCATCATATATGCACATTTAAAATATGCATCATATATGCACATTTAAAATGTGCATCATATATGCACATTTAAAATATATGCATATTGAAAATGTTTTGAAAAAATTAATGAAAATATATTTGTGGCAATTTGCATGTCTTGAATCGCCCGTGCAACCGCATCTTCTCCAGGCCGCCACAGGCAGAGTAAGTTGTTTTTTATATATAATTTTTAAATTGACATGTTCTGGGAAAGGATTTTAAAAAATTACAAAGGAAAAAATAATTTTTAGGGAACACTTTATTTTTCGCGCACCACCAGAATGTCACAATAAACACGGCGCAGCACAGAGGTTAAGGGTTAAAGTTTAAATATTTCCCTATATTTGTGAGGCTCTCATCAATATCTCTGAATATTGTTCAGGTTCGTATATGTTTCTGTGAGGCGCCCCGTTGGCTCCCCTGAAAGTATCTTACTGATTAAGTGCCATACTACTTATGTGTCATCAGTTGTGGAGTTCTTGTTTCTTACCGGGAACCATATGCCAGAACCTGTCCCCCATCCCCTCAGAGAGGCGCAGAGCACTGGCCTATGCACACTTTATATGTAAAGTTTATCGTCTTGCCATCACCAGGGAAGACACCCAGAAAAGTAGGCGTATCAAAACAAACCACTGCATGGTTTAACACAAAACCTTAGTCCACTAAATGTCAAAAAAACTCCCCAAAAAGTAAAACAACCAAGACTTTTTCTAACCAACCCCAGCTAGATAGCTCCACCTTCCCCCTCGTTGGGGAGAGGAGGTCTGGGCTGACACCGGTCATTTCTTGACTGATCTAGTGTGCCAAATGCTCAGTGTCGCTCTGGCTTCAGGAGTGTTTATATAATGGAACTGCATGTGTTCAGGGTTATCCTCTCTGTACGCTCTGTAATTATTACCATTGTGGGGTCAAGATTGCCTTCCGTGGGACGTTCAGGCAACACTCCCGTCAAGGAGCTTCCTCGCTTAGGGTGGTCCTCGCCCTTGGGGTAAGCTAGGGGTCTTGGGGCTTTTCGTCTCGGCCTGGGTTTGGTATTGTTTTTGGCTGGTGGGGGTGCATTGTGGTCAGCACTGCCTGCTCTTCAACTAGCACTTGGGTGTGCCGATGTTTCTCCCAGGCTGCTTATTTGCCCTTGTTAAGTCTATTTTTTTCACACAAATATTTTGTTTAGTTTGCTTCTTTTGTTTTCACTTGACACTTTGCTTGGGGTTTCTGCCTTTCTCCTTATTAGACATGCCTAGGGTGTGTACAATTGAAGCCCCTTGCTCCCCCTTGGGCTTTTCTTTCGGCTTTGGGTGCTCTGGTTGCCTACAGTACAGTGGTACCTCGGAATGCGAGTGTCCCTGTATGCGAGTTTTTCGGAAGACGAGCAGGATTTACTCCAAAAATATGTCTCGGAAGGCGAGGGTTACCTCGGGACGCGAGTTTGTTGATACGTGTACAGGCCGACTGGCGCGTGGTGGCATGGCGATCGCGCCTCAGTTTACCAGTGTCTCGTGTCCAGTGACTATCCCACCTGAATTCTTCACAAGGATTTACAGTTTTTTATCGTTTTTTTGGCCATTTGAGCATAAAAGTTGTCATTATATATCTTGCCATGGGTCTCAAGAAAGCCATTGGTAAGGTTCAACCTAAGAAAATAGCTGTGAGTAGAGGCAGTAGAGGATGTCCCTTCTTGATTAAGAAAATGTGTGAAGTATGGGAAGAACTGCAAAGTTTTGTTGAAAAAACTCGCCCAGATAAAGCTGTAGCAGGCCGTTGCATTGACCTTTTAAATGATAATGTGATGTCTTACTACAGACAAGTGTTAAAATGTAGGGAAAAACAAGTGTTATTAGATAAATTCTTAGTAAAACAAGCAAGTCCTAGTGGTATGCAGGCAAAATGTGGCAGAGTGTGCATACCAGTGAAGTCCTCACTGCCTGATGTGATAATGGAAGGGGACTCCCCTTCCAAACAGTAACTCCTCTCTTCCTCCCACCTCCTCACCATCTTCCATACGCCTACAGCATTCAACAGCAAGGTAAGTAATAACTTGAACATAGTTTTGTAGGTTTATTTAGATGAATTAGGTATAAAAATTTAGTTTGATGTGGGGTTTTTGGGGTAGTCAGGAACGGATTAATTCATTTCCCTTTATTTCTTATGGGGAAATTAGCTTCGGAATGCGAGTTTTCGGAATACGAGGCGTCTCCAGGAACCAATTAAACTCTTAAACTGAGGTATGCCTGTACTGTCTCCACTCGATTATCCGGACTATATGGGAAGGACCCCCAGCCGGATATACTGTACAGCTTATTAAGCAAAGTTAGTTTTGACTGCCAGCTGCTGAAGCCTCACTGGTTGAAGGCACTTGGCTTGCCTGTGATGCCTCACTTGTTGAAGGCACTTGGCTTGCCTGTGATGCCTCACTTGTTGAAGGCACTTGGCTTGCCTGTGATGCCTCACTTGGCTTGCCTGTGATGCCTCACTTGGCTTGCCTGTGATGCCTCACTTGTTGAAGGCACTTGGCTTGCCTGTGATGCCTCACTTGTTGAAGGCGCTTGGCATGCCTGTGAGACCTCATTGGTTGAAGGCGCTTGGCTTGCCTGTGAGACCTCATTGGTTGAAGGCGCTTGGCTTGATTTTCTTACCATATACCATGTAACTTGTCTTTAATTGTTAGGGTAACCATCTTCCTCTTAACACCTTCAGAACAATTGATGTTGCTACCAGACATAGTCTTGACCAAAAATGTTGAAAGTTACTATGAAACTTTTCTTGAGGGAACCTCAAGAAAACATAAAAACATTATTTAAAAAAATATTTCACTAATGGCGTGGCACCGGTATAAAGCGAGGGTCGGCAGCACTTGGGCTGTTTGGCTTGACCAGGCCTGGACGGATCCACTAGGGGCAGGCAGGCAAATTGTGTAGGCCTCCAGGCAGAAAAAAACCTCCCAATATTTTTGGAGCAAACTTTAGCCTGTGCAAATTATTTTTAGGAAACTTGTATATGTGTTACAGAACAGCGTTATATAATACTGTTCTGTATTTCTTTTGTTTTTGACTGTGATGAATTGTTCTAAAATTAATGGTAATTACTGTACTGTATAGGCCTTTCCACATCCCCCTTATCCCCCCCCTCGGCAGTCCCTCTCGGTGATCCCCTCTGTCCTGACACCACCCACCCACCCCACCCCCTCCTACACCACACGCCTCGAGCCACAGCCATACGGGATTAATACGGTACAGCCCGATGTCTGCCTTTCGGGTCTGGAATAATCCCCGCTTGTCCGGCTTACTATCCGTATTGAGCAACATCGGTAGCAAGTTAACCAGCTCAGATTTAAACTCTAACAGTATACGTTGATCCAGTCAAATATCTACTAGTCCGGCTTCAATGGACATTTTGGCCGGATAGGGAGATAACTTTATCCGGTCACGATTTTTGCCAGATTAGGGCATTTTTTTGGATTGGCGGATCTCAGATTTGCGAGCTTCTACAGTGCGGTTTGACCCGATACCTCTGCTGTATCTGGTAATACAGTATCTCCGGTTATCCAAATTTTTTATTCGGATATGGCAAAGTTTTTATCTGGCCTAAAAAACGGCTGGATAACCCAAAGATTCAGAAAAGTGGGCTTCGGATAAGCGAGCTTATACAGTACTCAAACTGATCGGCAACGGAACGGCCTTCTGGAACTAATTAAGTTTGAGTACGAAAGTTCCAATGTTTTGCACTATTCTGCAGTATTATTTAAACAGCATAATTTATCTACATTTTGTTTTTCTTTATACTGTAGTTAGATGTTAGCCTTTTCAAAATTACTAATTTTGCAGGTTTAACTCAGCATGTTCTAGCATCGAACATTTCCCTGTTGCGAGCATCTGAGGTAGAGGACATCATTGAAGGCAACGAGGATAAATACAAAGCTGTATCAGTCCGTCAGCAGCAAGACCCAGAGGCAGCGGCTGCCAGGTAAAATTAATTCAGTAAATAAATATGTATACAGTATAATTAAATATATTTTACAAAAAGTATAATATATATGTATGAGAAAATATTGAAGCCGTTCAATGGGATTGAACCCATATCAAACTTGCGTGGTTCAGTTGGTAGTGCATGTGCCTGGGGAGTCCACGGATAGATGCTTGTTTCCGTTGTACAGCTTCAATGTTTTCTCAATTATGTTTTGTAATTGCCATTAATAATGTACTGTAAAGTTGCTGATTAATCACTGTTTTGATCAACTATCATTGGTCTGTGGTTCTTCCTTTTCTTGTGAAAACTGTTGCAATAACCAGGAACTTGTATGAAAGGGAATGTCTTCATTGTTATATTAACACTTTTGCATTCTGATGTAAAAATTGGATTAGTATCAGCTCAGTGTCTCCAAACTCCTTGTAAGTTTGAGCAGATGTCTCGTTGTTACTTTTAAGCACATTGTGGTTAAGTGCATAATGCGTGCATCTAAGATGACCTAGGATGTAGGTTCAATATGACTATAGGATAAGGAGGCGATGAGTCGCAATAACGTGGCTAAAGTATGTTGACCAGACCACACATTAGAAGGTGAAGGGACGACGACGTTTCGGTCCGTACTGGACCATTCTCAAGTCGATTGACTTGAGAATGGTCCGGGACGAACCGAAACGTCGTCATCCCTTCAACTTCTAGTGTGTGGTCTGGTCAATATAGGATAAGGAATTTTATTTATTATAATCCCCACCCCTTAGAACATCAGGGATTGAACACTGACCTGGAAGAAGCGAGTCAGCCTTTCTCTTTAATTTGACTATAAATGGTGTACTGATAAGGCCACAACGAGGTGGGGCAAAACTTGGATACCTTATTAGATAAGGCATCCCACTCTGAGCTGCTAAAGACCTTGGAGTAAAATTCATCCCAATACATGGTATTTTGTTACTGTTAACACCACATCACTTGTTGGATAGCTTCAGCAGGGCCTGCACTGGTCTGATGTGGCACTAATATTAAATATTAAAATGTAGCTCGGCATGGAAGGGGGCAAGGTGAAGCCATCTTGTGTCAGATGGATAAAATAAATAGTTAAAAACATTGTGAAGGTAATTGCAAAGATGCCAGTAAGATGGGCAGGTGTAAAAAGGGGGAACTTAAATAGCAAACTAGTACTGTATAAACCCACTAATCTGGACTATATTGGAAGGACCCCCCAGCTGGATTATGACGTTTTCCTGAATAACATACTTTTTCACCGTGAAAGTCCAAAAATTACCATTTCCAACTATTTTTATACCAAAAACAACATAATTTGAATTGCCACATATAATTATTAAATATTCAACTAGAAACCTCAACTTACCTTGTTGTAGTTCGTCTTCTTGATTGATGCCACACATCTTGAAGTTAAGAGTTCTTGACAATTTACGTAACCTATACTAACACAACACTAAAATTAACACTTACAATTACTTTATGGTTCTTGAGGCAAGGTCACTTTTGACTGCCAGCTGCTGAAGCCTCTCTGGTTGAAGGCGCTTGGATTGCCTGTGAGGCCTCACTGGTTGAAGGCTCTTGACTTGCCTGTGACGCCTCACTGGTTGAAAGTGCTTGGCTTGCCTGTGAGGCCTCACTGGTTGAAGGCTCTTGACTTGCCTGTGACACCTCACTGGTTGAAGGTGCTTGGCTTGCCTGTGACGCCTCACTGGTTGAAGGCTCTTGACTCGCCTGTGACACCTCACTGGTTGAAGGCACTTGACTTGTCTGTGACACCTCACTGGTTGAAGGTGCTTGGCTTGCCTGTGATGCCTCACTAGTTGAAGGCTCTTGACTTGCCTGTGACACCTCACTGGTTGAAGGTGCTTGGCTCTCCTGTGACGCCTCACTGGTTGAAGGTGCTTGGCTTGCCTGTGACGCCTCACTGGTTGAAGGCTCTTGGGTTGCCTGTGACGCCTCACTGGTTGAAGGCTCTTGACTTGCCTGTGACACCTCACTGGTTGAAGGTGCTTGGCTCTCCTGTGATGCCTCACTGGTTGAAGGTGCTTGGCTTGCCTGTGATGCCTTACTGGTTGAAGGCTCTTGGGTTGCCTGTGACGCCTCACTGGTTGAAGGTGCTTGGCTTGCCTGTGACGCCTCACTGGTTGAAGGCTCTTGACTTGCCTGTGACACCTCACTGGTTGAAGGTGCTTGGCTCTCCTGTGACGCCTCACTGGTTGAAGGTGCTTGGCTTGCCTGTGATGCCTCACTGGTTGAAGGCTCTTGGGTTGCCTGTGATGCCTCACTGGTTGAAGGCTCTTGGCTTGCCTGTGATGCCTCACTGGTTGAAGGTGCTTGGCTTGCCTGTGATGCCTCACTGGTTGAAGGCTCTTGGGTTGCCTGTGATGCCTCACTGGTTGAAGGCTCTTGACTTGCCTGTGACACCTCACTGGTTGAAGGTGCTTGGCTCTCTTGTGACGCCTCACTGGTTGAAGGTGCTTGGCTTGCCTGTGATGCCTCACTGGTTGAAGGCTCTTGGGTTGCCTGTGACGCCTCACTGGTTGAAAGTGCTTGGCTTGCCTGTGACGCCTCACTGGTTGAAGGTGCTTGGCTTGCCTGTGAGGCCTCACTGGTTGAAGGTGCTTGGCTTGCCTGTGACACCTCACTGGTTGAAGGTGCTTGGCTCTCCTGTGACGCCTCACTGGTTGAAGGTGCTTGACTTGCCTGTGAGGCCTCACTGGTTGAAGGTGCTTGGCTTGCCTGTGAGGCCTCACTGGTTGAAGGTGCTTGGCTTGCCTGTGACGCCTCACTGGTTGAAGGTGCTTGGCTTGTCTGTGAGGCCTCACTGGTTGAAGAGTCTTTGGCTGCTTTTCTTACAAAATGAGAATCAAGTTTAGCTTGCCTTCTGTGTTCAGTGACCTTTTTTTATGATCAGCTCTTTGGTTCACCTCGGGTATTGATACATGTTTCCATCTTCTGGATTAGCACAGTTGATGGAAAAATTAATTAATCCGTCAATATAGTTCATGAATACACTGTAAAATGAACACATCCACAAGGGCCGTGACGAGGGTTTGAACCTACGTCCGAGAGCGTCGGACGAGAACATCGGACCATGTCGTAGTTCAGTCGATTAAGGCAGCGTCTGGGATGCTCTCGGACATAGGTTCGAAGTCTTGTCACGGCCGTTGTGGATTTGTTCATTTGATGCATCATGCTATTGTGATTTCTGTGTGTGATGAATACACTGTATTTCGTGTTCTGTGGTGTTGGTTCCTCACTGTCTTCTTCATCCTCCATCTCTTCATCGATCTCACCAGTAATAGACTGGAGAATCTCTTCTTCACTCATCACACCATATCCTGGGTCATTAGCATCTTTTTTGAGCCAGTCAACTGCATCCTGTCTTTCTTAATTTTCATCAGCATTTCTGAACATTCCATGGATTTCATCTGTAAATCCTTACAAATTCATTTCTTCATCCTCCTCATTGCTGGCCATAGACATGAGGAATTTTTTTCCAGGAATTCTTCAAAGTTAATTCCTTTACTTCACTCCACACCTTGTCCCAGTTATAGATGACTTCCTTGATGGAATAGTTCTTCAAATTTTCAAGGGTTCTTTTAGCCGTTATCCACGAAGAGTTCCATATCTTCCTCACGAGGCAAAACCACCAAAACTTCATTGAGCATCATTTTGGTGTACAACTTCTTCGTGGCACAGATAACTCCCTGATCCATAGGCTGGATGAGAAAGGTTGTATTAGGAAGTGCCATACACGTCATGTTGCCATCATGTGAGGTTAACGAGCCAATTCTGGGGTGGGCAGGCGCATTATCAAGCAACTTAACACTTTCGCGCTCTCGGCGAAGGTCACTCAGCCAACCGTATGTGCGCGCGGCGTTTTTATCGCTTAAGCGTAAAAACAAAAATGTGTATACTCTTTTTACTCTTCTGACCTTAGTTCTCATGCTACGTATTTCATTTTGGTACCAACGTGTTCGCAATAAAATTCTCTAGAAGAACATCAGTAAAAAAAGTCACGAAAGCTATAGAGATACCAGCACGAAATAAATAACTACGAAGATGAGTCGCTGTGAGCGCCCAACAGCAACAAAATGTTTTTACTCTTGGGATTATTATCACCTCTACAATTGTCCTACAGCCTTAATTTTGGTATCAATGGACTCCCAATGAAATTCCCAACACGGTGATATGAATATAATCGTAGAATAATGGTCGCGGCCCACCCGCAAGAGTGTGGGAAGTGGGCGCACTGTTACCCGGTAACGGTGACCTGACGACACATGCGCGAAACGTTGCTTTGAAAGTTTATACTTATTTCACTGTTCTGATATTATTATTGTATGTATGTCATTCATTTTTGTGGCAATGTGTTCGCAATAGAATGTTCTATGAGCTAAATTATACTACACAAACTTGGACCAAATAGGTGTACTTACCAAGGGAAGGCCGGTTGTGGAACAGTAAGTTGAGCATTTGTTCTTCACTCCACCTTCTTCAGGTTCTTCATTCCTGAAGTTGCTCAACAGATGGTTTGTAGGTGGAGTGAAGCTGTTGCGGGTGGTTACTTCTTCACCACCCAATACACCGTTTTCCGGTGGTAATTAGTGTAGCAGGGAATAACACAGAGTGCAACACCACAGGTCCTGCATCCTATGTTCGTGTCCTTCCTTTTACTGGACCGTGCGCATACATGACACTTGAGACGTTTGGGCAGTCTGTAAATTTCATGTTTCAGTTTTGTGTTCATGCGATTTTCTGAATCAACAATAGGGCCAGGTCTTCTCGCTGGAGGTGAAACATTTGCAGGAGAGTCAGATTCATCTGACAAAACAGTTTCGTCAACTGGCAGTGTGGCAGACATGTCGGGTTCAGATTCGGTGTTTGCTTCATCTTGAGGTGGTGTAGTGAACAAAGGCCGCCTCACACCAGATGGTCCGGGAGTTGGCATGGCGTCAGCATTGGCAGGAGCTGTGTCATCATTTATGTCTGGAGCG